AACATGTTGCTTTTGATGCTGGTCGAAGACATTCACTTGTGAGAATCTCTAAACCCTAATTTCAACTTCCGTTGCTTTATGCTTAGATTGATGCAATTAGCTATTGTCTACTTCAAATTCGTGGGATCTGATAAGGTTTATTTGTCTAATTTGGGGATAATTCGGGTCGCATCTTTTGATTTTGATATGCTATTTTTCATCAAATGAACGGATTCTAGGAGAATTTTTTCAGAGTTCATCGATTGCAGTATACCCATCAGCTGATTGAAATTTTAGTTCATGTTTGACTAAAGTAACTTTCCAAACTCGCATGTCATCAAATTCTTTACAATTTTCGCTTAATTTCTTTCAAGTTGATCCATTTCTTTCTTGATCCTTTTGTGTGTGACAGTCGATCTTTATCTTGAAGACTTGAAATTCTAAATCCTTTTGCTAAATAACATCAAGATTTGTTACAAAATCATGAAATTTAAGGTCCATGAAATAAAATCAAAGATTATGTGTGATGTTGCAGGAGAAAGCATTCGAATGGCTTTCATCTAAAGCACATGATGGAAAATCGGTTACTTCATCAGAATTTATGGCCTATTTGCAGGTTGTTGTTTAGTCTTGAATCATTTATTGTGTTTATTGTAAGTTGAAAATTTTTATTTTTTAAAACTTTTATGCAACATGAGCTCAATGATTCATCGGCAAATTGTCATCAAGAACTTAATGAAAATATGCTTTGTTCTCAAGATCAGGATATGAAAGAAGAGCATCCTCATATGTAGCTTCACAAATCTTTGTTTTTCTTTTTTCGTCTTTTTAGGGAACTTTCAGATGCGCAATATCATGGTTGTATGTTGAATGTCAAAGAAAAGAGTGATGGTATTATTGTAATTTCATATGTAGGAATTTTACATATCAACTATTTTGAGGTATTTCATGTGTATGAATTTTACATATTACTATTTGGAGATATTTTACATTAACATTTTGATAAAATGGTAGCTACCATATTTTTTTCTTGGTCCTTGTAGTTTTCAATTATCCCGAATTTAGCATGTGAGAAAAATTATAGACAAAACTGCAAAAATGGTCCCTGTGGTATTCCTTTTTTTTTTTAGGTTTGGTTCGAACCTCGACTTTTTGGCATCGTGGTCTTTTTTTCTGGGGTTCGGTTCCACTTCAGATGGTCCATGTGGTATGTCAAAACTTGCAAGTATGGACAAAAAAGGTTTGGACTAGCACCAATGGTTAAAAAGTTTTATTTTCTTGCGATTTTGGTCCAATTTGGTTTGAACTTTTTTGTAAAGACAATTTTGTCCTTGGTTTTTGCTTTTTTAATTTTTATTTATTTATTCAAATACTCTTATAGTTAAAAGAAAAAATTAAAAACAAAAATAAATTTCTCTCTCTCTCTCTCTCTAACAATTAAAAAAATAAAACTAAAATACCCCCTTTCCTTCTTCCCCATCTCTCTTCTTTTCTTACTACAAAACATAAACAATTTTTAGATGCCTCTCACCGGAAGCCGACGCATTGCTGGAGTTGCCACCCTCATCAGAGCCTCTCGCCGGAGCCGCCACCCTTACCATACCCTTTATGTCTTGCCGAAAAAAACTAACTGATGTTTTCATCGGAAAAGGAGAGAGGGTTTCAGATAACTCTCTCTCTCTCTCTCTCTCTCTCTCTCTCTTCTATGTCGTCGGAGGTAGGCTCGTAATCGGACATCCGCCGAAAACCATTAGACCTCAGCCCACCATAATCAGACCTGCAATCTGTCGGAGACGATCTATATCTCTCTCATCATCGGCGAAACCCTTAGTAAAACTATAGCCTCCAGCGCCGCCAACCGGAGCGGCTCTACAAACCCTAGTAAAGACGGCGACTTGTGATCTCTGGCATCCCAATCAACAAACACCACCATTTCAGGTTTGGTTTCAAACATCTCTGGCCGCTCTCCCAATATCGAATATGTAAAAGAGATGGCGAGAGAGGTGATGTTCCACCTCAGATTTGAGAGAGAGGGAGAGGGAGAGAGAGAGAGAGAGAGAGAGAGAGAGAGAGAGAGAGAGAGACAGAGAGAGAGAGAGAGATAGAGAGAAGAAGAAATAGAAGAAGAAGAAGAAGAAGAAAAAAGATCACGTTTAAGATCTGGCGAGTTTGGAGTTTAAGATGTGTCAAGTTAGATTGCGTTCCGCCTTAGATATTTGAATCGAATTCTGGGTTTTATGTGTGTGTGTGTGTATGTTTAGTCTATGTGTGTCTGTGTCTGTTTGTGTTGAATTTTTGAAAAAATTGAGTTAGGTGGCGTTCAACCTCAGATCTTTGAATATGATCTGATTTTGTGTGTGTATTCATCAGATCTAATTTTGAATATGGTTTTTGTTTATATGATGATTTTTTGGTGAAGATGAAGTGGAAAGTTTAGATAAAGATGGTTGTGGCAGACAGTGTTGGTTATAGACTGTGGTGGTGGAGGCGGTGGTGGTGAAGATGTTATTGAGTGTTCTTGAATCTATGAATATGTTCATGGGTATATTTTACATGCATAAATGGACAGATCAAAAAATTCGGTCAAGAGACCGTATCCCGATCTGATACCACACTTGAAAACTTGTATGAATTGGGAACATATCGGTATTTTTGTAATTTAACCAATATACTTTAGTTTTGGCCATGAAAACTATGGATCAAACGAGCCACGCCACTCGTGAGCTACTTCGGACCGGCTCGTTGAAAGCTCGACTCGAAACTGATTTTAAACGAGCCAGAACCGAACTCAAGCTTAATATTAAACTCATTTATTAAACGAGATCGAGCTCGAGATCGTGCCTTTGTCACTAAAGCTTGATTAGGCTCGCGAGCTTAAACTAGCTTATATATAATATAATTTATTATTATTTTTATATACTAGAGATTTAGGGTATTAGTAAAACGAGCTAGAATTAAGCTTAAACTTATTTAGGCATGTTAGTAAAAAACGAAACGAGCTTAAGCTTGGGCCAAGCTTGTATAAGTCTATACGAGATCGAGCAAAGCTCAGTACAATAAAGATCGAATTGAGCTGAGCTCGAGCTCGAGCCCCATATAACTTAAACAAGCTTGAGCTGAGCCTGGCTAAGATAGGGCTCCGCTCGGTTCATTTGCACCCCTAATGCTCCGCTCGGCTCGTTTGCACCCCTAATGATGTTTTGCAAGCAATTTCTATCCTATCAACCCCATCGTCCTTGGATTCCGTGGAGAAGAAAAACAAAGGCAGTGGTTAATCGGAAACCTAGTGTTTCTCTTTTTCTTGATTGAAAAAGATTTAATATGTGGGTCGATGATCGGGGATAAGGTTGAGCTGTGTTGGCGACTCGTTATGATTGAAACATTGTCTTAATCTTTACCTAGGTTGATACTTTGTAAATCCATTTAAAAGGGGTGGGGACGGAGGCAAGACCCATTTATATTAATTTTATTTGAAAAAGGCGTAAAAGGTGGGTCGATGATCGGGGAGAAGGTTGAGTTGTGTCGGCGACTCGTTATAGTTGAGACATTATCGTAATCTTTGCCTAGGCTGAGTACTAATTTGTAAATCCATTTAAAAGGGATGTGGAAGGAGGTATGACCCATTTATATTATTTTTATCTGAAAATTTAAAACATTAAAAGGAAAAGCTAAAAAAGAAATTATAAATCAATCTTTTTCATTAATTAAAGACTAAAATTTTAATAAAATAATACCATAGGAAGTGACTGAGTGAAAACAATAGGAAGGAACGTGAAAATTAAACCAAACCATATAAATGATTCGTTAATGTATTCAAAAATTTAAATAAACTTTTATATGTAACATAACATTAAAACATTGAGAGATAGATCTAAACATCCTTACTTGTTTGTTGCAAAGCTTGAAACCAATTAAGACATTGGGAGATAGCACTAAAGATCCTTATTTGTTTGGAAGGGGACATGTTATGGTTAAGAGAGATTTTGACATGTTTTTTTTTTATTTTTATTTATTTATTTAAAAATGGAAGACTAGAGATTAGAGTTGAACATAAAGTTGGGGTCTTCGATCCTACCTAACATTTAACTAGGCTTGTAACATCAAAATTGAAACTAATCGTAGTATGTGTGTTCTGTAGGATTTTCTATAGACCAAATACTAGGGCTTTCAATGAGCTACACATAGTATTTTTGCAATCTTACCCTAGTTGGATCCGTCCGGGCTTGCTAGTCATGTTAGGATTATAGTTTTATCATGATTATAAAAACTGAAATGATTTTAGATGCGAGTTTAATAAAATCATTAAAGACCAAGTTAGGTGGGTGCTAGAAATTGGCACTTTGAGCCTTTTGGACCCTTTTCCCATTTTTTACCTGGATACAATTTCCTTTCAATTTTATCAAATGTATGAATACATACTTTTTCTGTCTACAAACAAAAAACATAAAGATTAAGAGAGTATTAATTACTACTGACTTTATTAAATAAAATGACAATTATACCTTTTTGTTGCATTTAATTTCATCATTTTGTGCATTTAAATCCATTGTAGGTTAATTAATAATGAAAAGTATTTTGGTATATATATATATATATATATATATATATATATATATATATATATATATATATATATATATATATATATATATATTATTTTGGAACAAATAAAAAAAGAAACATATGGAAAAGTCCTAAATGTTAAACTACTCTTAATCATATTTTCTTTAAATAGCAACATATGACTTAAACTTAAGAAAAAAGAATAGAAAAGTCCGACCCATGCAAAACCATGGGCTTTAATGGGCCGCTTTTCAAAGAAAAACAGATCGGGCTTTGAATAGGCGGCATTGGCCTGGGTTAACCACACATTGGTCTTTATGGTTCGGGAAGGCTTGCCGGCGTAGTGTTCAACAACCACTTGCATTTAAAATAATCAATATTCCAAAACATTATAACATATAAATAAAGACATAAAATTGTTATTTTCATCAAATAATCCAAAATCATAAACTAACAACGTGAACGATTTCAACTATTATTCAACAATAAATTACCTCTTAACTTCATTATTCTACAAAAATCACAACTAAAAGAAGACCCCAAATATGTGCTCTAACAAGCACATCGGCTTACACAACTAAAGCCGAATTATCCATAACTTTGCACAAAAAACAACTCGACAATTACTTCCAATCGAACAAACAAACAAACAAGCGGCTTACTCCTGACCTAGTCTTCTTAGTCTTTAGCACAACCACAAGACTTTACAAGTCACCTCAGCCAATAACAGCCGACACGACTTTTAAAAATCATTATTCTTAAACTTATCAAATTAAAATGCAAACTCAGAGGGTCCTCCTCCACGTGGATTCCTCCGACAAAACCTTCATTACGGGTTAGACCTTAAACTACACGAACTCCTCCAAAAACAAACCATCGTCTTTATATCACTAGAAATAAAATCCTGATCACCTGCAAAAAAACTGAACAATATTCAGTGATAAATAATTATAAAAGGTCCCCACACTGAAAAAAATAATGTTAAATAATTGTAAATTTGTATTAAAGACTTGTTGGCGTTACCATTGAATATAGATTGCTTATTTTTTGAGACCATTACTGGACAAAACCTTTTTCCCGTATGGGCTTGTACGTAATGCAGGAACATGGGGTTTTATTGCCTCGATTAATGCCTCACGTAGAGCTCCCTGGACACAAGACAAGTAAGTATATACAATATACATGTATACGTGGTTTGTTTATTATAGTAACCTATTTTTATTTATTCTTAATAATGCAGCACTATTAGTTTGAACGCCACTTATAGCCATATATATACCAAATACAAACTATTTTCTTTACTATAATTGGATGGCTTTTTCGAAAGACAACGTCCTTATAAGAAAAGAACGGAATGTTTGGATTGATTTTTCAAAATACACTGACTTGATAGAAAACAAATTGGAAATACTAGAAGAAATGAAAGGAGAATTATATAATAAACAAATAAATAAATAGAAGTACATTGCGACATTATACTTACATTTCTTTGTTCATGAATGCGATCATATTTTCGTTTCTTTTTATTATAGTATTGTAATTTGAAAAGTATATCAACTTGTGATCATCCATAAAACGATTTTTACTTTTATAACTGGATAGTGTTTTTAATATAGAATGTACAAAATAAATAAATAATTTTACAATGTCATAATTAGGTAGCTTTTTTAAAGTACATTGTCTTGATAATAAATAAATTTGAAAGCACAAAGTTGTTATAAAAGAAAGAAATGAACATGAGATGTTATAATAAATTATAAATGGAACTACACGCGTGTTTATTTTTTCATTAGCCCTTTGCAAGAATACGGAAGCTTGAACAAAAAACGGTTTTTGTCTCATTTTTAGAAACTATAATGCATTTCTGGGATAAAATTTCCGCCCAAAACTATAGGTTACTTCGTTAGTTTACATGGGAGAAATCAAATAAGCTTGAAAAATCTATATATACACATACCTTTGAAGAACGAAGAGCTGCCTGGATAACATAGTTTCCATACGGATCCTGCATGATTTGATCTAAACGAGGATTACCCATCAACTCATTAACAATACAAATACGCCGCTCTTCTCTTGCATATTTTAAGCATTTTTCCACCACATTACTACTGTATTTCTGCATCGCTAAATCACCATAGTTACCCTCAAGTTGATCAAGAATGGCCGATGTCGCCCATGGAACTTGAAGCTCAAAAACATATTGTACAACATAGTTCCTGCAACGTACAACTCAATTCAGCACAGAATCACTAACAACAGAGAGTGATCGATCATTAGGGTTAGGGTTCATGATACATACCCGTATGGATCTTGTGAAAGGATTAGAGCATTCGAAGTAATCTCACGAACAATACGCCGTCTTGGTTCACCATCTGAATGACTTAAGCACTTCTGAAGCACACAACACCCATGTCGATCTGTCGCTAGCTCTATGCATTTCATAGTCGCAGCTTCAAAAAGAAACTGTAAAAAAGATATACACGAGTGTTGTTAATTCTATATATATATGTTCGGGATTAATTATATATAACTTATAATATATCAAGATTCAAAATTTATGTTATAACCTCGTTGAATTCGGGTTTTAAATACTGCAAGAATCGTTGAGCAACATGATTGCCATTCATGTTCTTCATCAACCCAATAATCCCGGGCTTTAAAGCGGAAACCACCATGGAACACTGCTCACGAGTTTTAAGAGTTTCAACGACCTTCTGAACAGCTCGAGTCCTACAAACAACAAAATCGATCATCATTCACTACAATAATCATAATTACGAAAGTTCTAAACAAATCCAAAAGAAAAGAAGACAAACCCATGCATATCACATGAGATCCTAACAAGATCTCCAGGCTTTCGAGTAATAACCCTAAGAATCTGCATATGTTGATGCTTGTCACAAACTTCTAGAAGCTTCTGAACAAGATAGTTTCCAAAAGGGTCAGTCATAAGCTCGACAACATGCACTATAACTTCTCGAAAAATGTTCTCAAGATCTTCCCTTGTCCCCTCGGAGAATTTCTTCTGTAAGGAACGACACCCTTGTTGATCTTTCGCCATGCAATATATTCTCTCACCAAAATCGTCAGATTTCATGATATTTGAAACCGGATCTTCACGTTCAAAGCTTCCAAACTTTAGCGACCCGAGTGGGTTCAACCCACGTGACCTCGTGAGTATCTTTTCGGGTCCCTTTTGGTTAGCATGGGTCATGAACCGGTTCAACGAAGGTGTAGGTTGGTGCATTGACCGAGGTTGACTCTCTAGATTCTTACAGAATTGGTGTATGTTCATCGGATGATAATTATATTCGTTTTCGAGGTTTCTCCATGTTAGATTGGACTGGGGATTGAAAAACAATTGTTGTTGATTTGGGATCATGGGAATTGCTACGAGTTGTTGACCATTAAAGTCAACGCCATTGAAGGGTGTGGAAGAAGGAGGTGGTGGTGAGAGCATGATTGGCCTATCTTTGATGCTTAAATCTTGAAAAACAGATGCGAATGATTGGTCGTTTAAACATTCGCCTTCGATGAATTGAACCCTTCTCACGTTTAACTTTTTGTCATTCAAAGTATCAAGAAATGTACCATTTTCAGGATTTGTGTAGAGATTTTTGGAGCTTTTGGAAGAATTAAAGACTCCAAATTCTTCGGTGTTTGGGGTGACAGTAGCTCGAGGTATCTCACCAAGAAGCTTATCGAATTCGTCAAACTCCAATTCGTGAACTCTCTCCGGCATTTTACAAGATAAATTGATAATCCTTCGAGATCTAGTAAACAATAAAGATGATAATCAGATAACATTTTATAGATTTCAAGAACGATATATATTGTTTGTATGATAAGTTTTAGTATAATACGTTTTTTAAGACTTTATAAGAAGAGGAGTTAGTTAATAATGGATGATAACAGCAATAATAATTCAAAATGTTAACATTTAAAAGGCAAAAGCAATCAATGTGATATGACATAAAGTTCCCTTTGGGTTAAGAGAAGGGGTTTGTTGGTATGGGGGACCTACACCTAGTACCTTAAAAGGGTCGTGCTATGACCTTAAAGAAAATGGGACTTGAAAAACTTGACTTCTTTCTCATCCAACCAAATAAACCTTAAACAATAAACATTTTAGTGTGTGCAAAACCATAGTTATAATCTTCCAAATCTTTTATTGACAATCTTAAGCTCATGATTCTATTGATGTATCATTTTTCATTCTCCATTTTTTGACTTACATCAAGTAAATAGACCCATCATGATTTTATATATGTCAATCATCAAAGGAATGAAATGATTGTATAAATAATCAATCATTTCATTTGGTGATTGATATTCATAATGTTAAGAGTGTAAGCATGTGTTAACAGTGTACTTGTACTATTGTTCCTTTGGAGTCTCTACTTGCTAGATTATAATAAAAATATTTAGAGGTACAAAAAAATAAACACATGAAATAATAGTAAAATGGGACCTACAAAACGAAATAAAGCATTAAATGACACTCACAAAACGAAAATACCAAACAAGATTTGACCTAATCCTTCACATAATAACATGCTTACGATGATACACTTTAGTGAAAAATTCCAAAATAAGGAATGAATGAATAAGTAAAGCACATTGTCAAATTCACACAATAGAAAACAATTCAGATTGTATACAAGATCAGCATCACAGATGGATCCTTTCATCAGATGCATGAAAACCCAGAAAACCATAATCATAAAACACCGTTATAACCAACAAAAGATGAATCTTTAATTATAAAGAAATTTCAATCATTTACAAGAAAGTTCATCAGAACATCCAAAACCCAGAACAGAAAACACAAATCTTTGATGAAATTGAGATTTGATTTCACGAAAAGAACACGTACCAGTGATGATCGACTGAGATCAAAAGGGGGAAAACAAAATGGGTCGTGAAATCTTGAAATTGTGGTGGTGAAATCGTGAAATGGGGATGGGAGTGTGGTGGTGAGATCAGGAGTAGAGGCGGCGTAATGATGGAGTAATATTCATAGGTGGTAGGAGTGAAGAGCAATGGGGGCCATGAAAAATAGCATTGCATATGATATGATGGGGTGATGGGTGAGGGGTTGTACATAACATTTCACAAAAACAGAGCAAATGCAATTATACATGTCTACCCATCCCATGCAACCCTCTCACTTTTCCTTTTTTTTTTTTTTTTTTTTTTTTTTTTTTATATATTTTTTTTAACCTTGTTTAATTTGATTATAATTTTAAGAAATTAGTAAATTATCAATAGATTGTCATATATTTTGTTCTATATGTATCTCAATTAGAGGTCCCACATAGTTGGATCTAGTTAAATAACAAGTCAAGAAAATAATATTTTTACCTTTTTAGGCTAATCATTGTTAATTGTTTATAGATAAAATTATGCCGATTGGTTTGAAAACATTTCATAACATATAGTCATGTTTTGTTACAAATATGCTGCAACAAAAATCATTTTTAAGGTTTTAAATCTTGGCTATTATCAAATTTATATCAACCGATCAATCATAGCAAATAAATAAAAATTTAGACAAAGATCATTACAAGAGTCTATAAAAATTACATTCCAACTATCTTCCATGATGTTTGTGACATGTTAACAATCATCTTCTAATCCTTTATACATGACACAATATAAAAATAGAGTATAATCTCTATGGTTTAGGGTAATTTGCACGTTTGGTCCCTAACTTATTTTTTTAACTCGGAAGGTTCCTACTTTTGTTTTTGTTACGCGCTTGGTCCCTGTCTTACATAAAAAGTCTATTTTTCCCTTTATTTTTTAATTTATTTAAATAAACACACCCTTAATCTCACCCTTCTCACCTTACCTTACGTATCCCATAATTTTTTCCTATTTAAATAATAGTCTTTTTAGGTATGACAGGGACCAAACGCGTAACAAAAACAAAAAATAGGGACCAAACATGTAATAAAAACAATCAGTAAGGACCTTCCGAGTTAAAAAAATAAGTTAGGGATCAAACACGCAAATTACCCCAAACCATAGGGACCATTCGTGTAATTTACTCTAAAAAATATACGATTACTTAATCGTCTCGTAAGCTATATAAGTTTAGACACAAAAATACTTTCAATAGCTTTGCAAAACTATTTTCTATACTTTCCAAAATCTTACACATAATTAGCTGTGAAACCCCGTTCCGCGGGGTTCGGTTAAGACTAGAGTTTTACAGTTTTGTTTATCGGTTATGTATGTTGTGTAGTCATAGATAGTGCACAGTATGCAGGGGCATTTTTGACAAAACAATTGTTAAAATCACGATTTTTTTACTAAAACAACAAAGTCCAAATAGTTGGTTTTTCGAAGAGTTTAATAACAATGTAAAAGCTGTACAAATTTTTTTAAATGAACAATAAAACACAAGTTGAAAGGATGTAGCTTCAAAATTGGGGCAAGTATATTATCAGGATATCGTTCAACCCACCTCTCTTTCATTCGCAAAGGGGAAATCGGTAGGTGGTCTGGATAAATGACAAAAATAAGGAAAAAGAAAAAAAAATTACAAAAAGATGCATCTTCAAAGTAGTCACAAGTGATTCCATAGGGTTTCACCTGTTTGGTTGGAAAAATGTGACTACTTTCAAGATGCATCTTTTATATCAAGTAAACAGTTATGTAATATGTAACATGACAAGAAAAAATGTGGCAAGTTTAATCTTTCTCAGGTGTAAAAAATTTGGACGGGTAATGGAAAGGATAAACTTACTTGGGATTTGCTAACTTCTGAAGTCAAACTTTTAGGTCAACTATATTCTTCTGCAAAGCTGGATAAAAATCAAATGGAAAATAAGTTTAACACATGTACATATACATTCTTCTAATCATTGAAGCCATATATCAATTTATAAGCCTATAAATTGAGTACATAGGTACATGATCATCATAATTGCCTTCAACAGGTAGTTAATTTCAATGAAAACTTGAAGAAAACGGATGAATACCTGTAATAAAAAGAAAAAATAAAAAGAGATTGATTCAAGTAAAAGAATAAGAAATCAATCACTAAATGCAGCTAAAATGAACATAAAAACTGTATTTTAAATAAAAAAATTCCATTATTAGAATTTATCATTCTAAAGTGTGACTTTTAGTTTTTCAATATAAATATATGAATCAAGCTATAGAAATTTTACTAATATTGTAATGCTATCTTTTCCTCCTTGCTTTCTTTGATTTTTATGGTGGTCAAGTTAGTATTTTTCTGGTTTATGTGTTTTAGAGTAACTGCTCCTTCAACACCACCACATGGTTCTATAAATGCAAATCTCTTTGAATGGATAAAAACTAAGATCAGTTACTTATATTAATACATGCAAAATAGAACACAAAAAAACCAATTAATTGTTAAAAAGAAAAGATTAAAGAATTAATGGGTGAGCAAAAAGTCATAAGTAACCTCCAAATATTTCTCAGACATTTGCCTTGAACAACCTGATTTGAGCGAATGGTGCAGGGATTGATGTTGAACCCAAAACCCAGAGTATAAACTGTTGGGTTATGAGCATTCTAACACTCCTAAGTGTACATGCAACCCTAAATACCTTGGATCTATGTTTTCTCTATTATACATGCAAATATGAATATCCAAGGTATTATCCTATACTAGCATACAAAAACTATCAATATAACAAGATAGAATACATACCTCTTTGATGGTGCTTGTCTTCATGAAGCTTGAGTGCCTAGTGCCCCAAGTGTGACACCTCAAATGGTTCACACAACACCAAATACACTTGGAATAACTTGAGAGAATATACACACTTCATGAAAATCGGCTAGCCCTTTCTTACTCTCACTAGTGGCCGATTTTGGTCAAGAATAAGATCTTTATATAGTGTTACAATTAGGGTAAACTCTAATTGTCATGACTTTCCATTTCCTTGGATCCATGGGTTCAAATACACCATGGAGCATCCATGGAGCATCATATGGGTTTTGGCCCAACTAGATAATCCATGGAGCATTAGCCCACTATACAAGTATGGATGATTTACACAATCAACCCATATATTTAATTAGTCTTCTTTTGATCACTTAATTAATCCTAGATTAATTCTTGATCAATACTAATTAAATAATCTTATTATTCTTATTATTAATATACTAGAACTTATAATATATTAATAACCATAAGTGTCTTATTTCTCTCATTATAGTCTATCCAAGTGCATGATGGTATGCAACCCAAATGGACCATGCCGGGTCGGGTCAAGTCTTACCAATTATAATTATGGACTTAGACATTAATCCAACATAAACAACATGTGTAAGGTATAAAAAAATATATTGAACGATATAACAATTTGACAATTTTACTAATGTTTGGATGTTACCTCAAAGTGTTCAATTGTAAGAAATCATCATTAACCTCACCGGATATTGCCACTACTACCTCCATCAGCCATCTCTGTCGGCAACTACGGTTAAAATAATTTTTTTGAAGTTTAAAAACACTATGCAGGGGCAGTTTGGTCCAAAAATCTTCAAATCAAAATTTCTAACTATAGAAATGGCATGCAGAGATAGTTTGAATATTGTTAAAACCCAAATCTCAGTTATTGGTTCCAAACTAATAATATTGTTAAACCGACATCTATTTGTACCATTCCGCTTAACAATATTTAATCACCATTTTAACAACATATATGAAATTTGACAAATTATTTCAAAAATATATCAAAGTGTCTGTTTATGATTGGAAAATGTTAAAATAAAACAAACTCAAAAGTAATAATTCAAAGGAAATATAGGAATAAATAACTATAATAGAACAGAAAGGGTATAAACAAATTGTGACGATGCAAAAAGGTCGTGTAAATCTGATGACGGAAAAGGTAATATACCATAGTGTAAATCGGATTCTACACCATAGAAAAAAATGTCATAGATATACAAAGTGTTATCAATCTTACTTTTGAATAAACTTGAAATGCTAATATAGAAATTCATAGACCATCTGTTTAAAATCTCGCCAAAATTGGTTGTAATAGTGTTTAATCTTATATACATGGATATAAATAAAAAAAATGAATCTTAAAAATCTTGTAAACGCCTCACCTGCAGTAAGGAACACCACCTAAACAGTGGAAACCATTCGGTTGATAAAGGGAAGTAAATGATCTATGTTTACACTTACTTTGATCCTTTCGTGAGTTTCTTTAACAGTTTCCCATATAGTTTCTTCCTCCAGTTATGTCGCATCTTTTTCTGAAATACCTTCCATTCAAATACAAACAGTGAATCATCTAAAAAGAGGGATACACATTAGGCCATTACATAAAAGATATGTTGAAACCATTCATCTACAAATCTACATGATAACCATTTTGTAGATATAACAGTAGAACATATCATTAGTATACAAAACAATGATTCCCCAAACCGAATTTGGAGAAAAAAACTAAATATATTCTGACCAGTACAATTGAAAATATGCACCATGGAATCATTCATCAAATGTTTTGGATTCACCAAGTTGGGCAACTTCAAATTTGAGATAATCTAGTTTTTTCATTATTTTGAAATGTTTTCTTGCAAATTAAATGAAAGCACATGAGTGACAACAATATTTTTTTCCAACATCATCTGCCCCCAACCTTAAATATATATTGACAAAATATCGTTTTAGAAACAGATTGTTGATATCAGGACAGAAATTTATTTGTAGAGAAACATTCCAACCTTAAAAAGCCCTAAAATTGATTCTTAACTGGTTGATTGCTTGATTACATGTGATCATAAAGAGAAGAAAAAGTGTATTACAATTTATTTGTAGAGAAACACTCCAACCTTAAAAAACCCTAAAATTGATTCTTGATTGGTTGATTGGTTGATTACCTGGGATCATAAGGGGAAGAAAAAGTGTATTCTTGAACTTCAAAGGCTAAGTCATTCATCTTTAGAATATAGAACAGGGGTAGAGCAACAAATGAGGACTGGGCATTTCATAGGCTACGTTAAAGTAATATGAGCTTCTTGTCTATCATAGAAGTCTTGTTATAAGCTTGACAACATCCTTTTCTTATCAGGT